GGGTGCAGAAGAGAGGAGATCCTTTCCTCCTCTCCCCACTCCCCCCTCTGCCCAGGGGCTGCCAGTTTTCACCAGGTAGGAGAGTGGACAAGGTGACATGATAGATGGAGGAGAACTATGGATAAGGACAGAGAACAGACAGAGGGTTTGCTGTCTATATGGATGGACAGGAGGAGGAAGAGGGGTTGCTGGGAGGGTCAGCTCTCTCAGCCCCAATCTGAGCCTCAGCTTCCTCCTCCATCAGCTGTGGATGAGAGCATCAGAACTTCTCACCCTTCCACACACGACTCAGGTGAGGCACAGCCCTGACTGGAAGGCTAGCCTCTCCATCCAGCCCAGCAACTTGGTTCCTTTCTGGGACAGGCCCAAGGGGAGCATAATCCAATGAACGGTGGGTGTCTCGGGGACAGACTCTCAGGGTCGGGTGGGGCATCCAGTCCGAGGGAGGTACAGGCGGTCCGGAGGGCGAGGGTCCGCCTAGGGCTTGGGGCTGACCGGGTGCGGCGGTTGGGGCTGTTTGGCCAGCAGAGGGCGCCGCGCTCCCTGGTGTCGGATCCTCCCCGCGAGGCCCCGCTCTGGGCCGCAAAGACCTGCGCACACACGAGATCGCACTCGCCGAGCCCACTCTACACTGCCCTTAGGACAGACCCAGAGGGCTGCGTCTTCTCGGCATAGACTGCTCACTCCGCGTGTGTGCAGAGCCTCATCATTTGTCCCCCATTCTCTCTCCCGCGGCCCTGGGGACCAGACCTGGGTGTCTGGCTCCATGTGTTCCCAGAGAGGCACACGTATGTGTCACATCCAAGTACACACATGCTCAGTCCCCCTCTGACCCTCTGTTCCACTGAAGACAGAACTCCGGAAGAGCTTTGATCCTCCTGTAGGAGGCTTCCCCCCTCCCCCTCCGCCTGTGCCCAGAAGCTGCCAGTTTTCACCAGGTAGGAAGATGAGCATGGTGATGTGATGGAGAGATGGAGGAGGACTAGGGGTAAAGGCAGAGAGTAGACCAGGGGTTGGCTGTCTAGATGGATAGACAGGAGGAGGGGTTGCTGGGCGGATGGGCTCTCTCAGCCCCTTTCTGAGCCTCAGCTTCCTCTTTCCAGTTTTTTGTGGGGATGGGTGAGGGGGTGCAAGGGAAATTACCTTGAATCCTTCCCTTTCTGTCATGTTTCTATTGTCCCTTCTCTTCTCTCCCAGTTCCCTCCTCCTTCCCCTCCTTCTTGCTCACCTACCTTCTCCAAGCACCAAGAGAGGACCCCAGTCAGAGCTCACATTGCCCATCAAGTGTGGGGGCTCATACACACACACACACCTCCCCACAGACACCCACCCCAGTCATTTGAGGAGCCCGGAGACAGACCTCTGGGAGGTTAAGAGCACACAGCCGCCTGACAGGCAGCTGCAGACAGCCAGATGTGGGGCTTGACGAAAGCCCTCGGAGCATGAGTGACCTCAAAGCATGCCTCTAGGGCCCAGGACTGGCTGGGTCTGGGGACATGCTGGCTGGAGCAGGAGCAAGTCCTGGCCAATGTCCACTTGCCCTCAGGGACTGAACGGCCTTGTCCCAGGCGGGCCTCAGGAGGCTCTGTTCTAGGCCAGCTGGAGACAAGGGCCGGCCCTGCACTTGTCCTGGACCCTTCCCAGCCCAGCACAGTCCTCGCAGCTGTCTCACCAGAGTGCGTAGGGAGGTGGCAATCCTAATAACCAACATTTTCTGACTTGGAGACATTCTCCTGGGCGTCAGTACATTCACTCCTACCAACATATGGGGAGGTGGGAATTATCATCTCCACCATAAATGGCGAAACTGAGGTCACAGGCACCAAGCACTGGTCAGGGGTACAGAACACATGGCAGTGTTCAAGCGCTTTCGCTTTACTGTAAAACAATAAAATCAAAGTTTCTCAAAAGATAGGCATTAACTGCTATTTGGTGCCTGGTGTTCGGGTGCAGAAACTGAGCTAGGTAGGATGTAGGAACTGGTAAGTGTCTGTCCCCAGGCCCTCTATAGCTCTGTCTGAGGGCAAGGAAGGGGAGAGATGCCCTTGAGGTTCCCTGGGACAGCCGCTGGACAAGGAGTCCCCCTCACCGCCATGCCAGGGAGGAATGTCACCCACGCTGCCCCTACAGCCACATTCCTTCAATCTTGAGCATTTTCTGAAAGACTCCTTTAGAAAGCAAGCTTGGGAGTCTGCACTGGAACAGTGGAGGCACCGAAGAAACCAAAGCCAGAAGTAGCCACAGGCTTTACCCAAGACCAACTTCTCTACAAAGCTCGCCCCCACCCTACTGCTGGTGGGGAAAATCAGGGCTGGCTTCATAGAGGAGTCAAACTTGAGCAAAGTGTTGAAAGAGACGAAGAGGAAAGGCATTCCAAACCCATGGTCTCTCCACTACTCTGCCATTACCCAGGCATGTTATAAAGAAGCAGCCAGGAAAGTGAAAACCATAGATGTGGCTGAGACCGGCCAAGAGAGGGCCCCAGTCCCTCAAAAGGAGCTGAGAGCACAAAGAGGGGTCCCGACTCAGACACAAGAGAAGGGCTGCCTCTTTTCAGGGCCAGAGGGAAGCTGGGGAGGGCATGGGGCAGCTGCTGGCGAGTTTGTGGCTGTAGGGGAGATGGGAAGAAGTCTTGCCTTCTGGTTTCACTTTCTAGGTGGGTCAGGAGGCAAGTTGATCTGCTGGAAGAAAGCCAGAGCAAGTAGGGTACTTGGAGAGAGTGGGAAGGTTTGAAGCAGGGCTTAGAAGAATGGGGAGGGAGCTGCCTGGGGGCGGTACAAAGATTGCTGGCCAGAGCTGTGACCCCTGCTGAGGCCAGAAACTAGGGACTTGTCATGGCAGCAGTCTGCACGGCTGGGTGAGTTTCTCCAGCAACGCTCAGCAGTGCTGACAGGAGTAGAAGAGTATGGAAGAGAATGAGGATGGAGAGATGGGGGGGATGTTTGGTGCAGAGAATAGGGAGCTGGGACGGAGGGCACTGAGGTGAGATGCCAGGGGATCTGGCTGGAATGGGTAGAGTGAAGCCAGGATGGCTGGGCAAACAGAAAGGGGAGAGGGGAGAGACTGGGGGAGGGATGTGACTGGGACTGAGATGGGAGACGGGCAGAGATGGACAAGATGGACAGAGCCTGTGATCAGAGTTGGGACGTTTCACTTGAAGATTTCAGAAGACCCAGTCCCAGGTGAGGACAGGTATAAGGCTGCAAGAATAGCCAGCTGAAATGTGGCAGATATGAAAGTCACCTGCCTCCAGGAGGTCAAGAAGCTTTTATTCACTCATTCATTCAACAAATATTTACGGAGCACCTACTACAGAAGTGAGCCAGTCCTTGTGTGAGGTGTTACATGTAGGGATGAGCAAAACTTGGTCCTACCCACAAAGGGGTCACCACCTCACTGGGGAGACTAACACCATGGCAGCACCCAATGGTGGCCAGGTGTAGGGGGAGCACACAGAAGGGCCCTCACCCAGGAAAGGGGGAGGTAACATCAAAGCTGAGCCTTAGGAATAGACTAGGACTTACCCAAGCAAAGGACGTGAGAAGGGCTCTCCAGGGAGAGGAGAGAGCACCCTCCAGGGGGTGGCAAGCATGGAGTGTTCCAAAACCACTGGCCATTTGATGAGGCCAGAGGGTAAAGGACAAGGCAAGAAGCGGGGAGATGGGAGGTAGGAGGGGCAGGAACCCAGAGGACCTTGTAGGCCAGGCACAGAGCTCACAGAAGGAACTGGAGGCTTTAAAGGGATTTCAGCAGGGAGCAGCAGGATCAGATTTGCATTTTAGAAAGATCACTCGGGCTGCAGTGTGGATAATTGATTGGAGCCAAGCGAGGGAGGAGACAGAGAAAATGGTTACAGGCTGCAGGGCAGCAGGGGTGGCAAGAAGAGGGCACAGTCAAGAAATATTTAGGATTCAAAATCAGTAGGACTGGATGCCTTCACTGGACAGGGGCAGGAGGCAAGGTCAGGGAGGCTACCCAGGTGCCATCTACCGAGCCGGGGACAACAGGAGTGACTTTGGCGGGCACAAGGAGAGATGAGGATCTCAATGTGAGACGAGTCACATCTGGGAGCCTGAGGACACCAGGGGACATGCACTGGTCAGGGGGGTATGGCCAGGGGTGAGGTCTGGGCACCCAGATATGGTTAAGAAGTGAAGACTGTATTAACTGTTAGGCAGGTTCTTCTTAGGGAGGGAACACTTTTGTTTCAGAAAAAACCTTGACATGTTGCTGGGGGTTAAAGGGCAGAGCCTAGGGTGTGGGTAGCCTTAGGGCCAGCATAGCCACAAAAATGGTTAAGTTGCCCTGAGAAGGAGGAGAGCAGAGATGTAAGGGGGAAGTGCTGATTTGGGGTGGAGGGTGGGCTGGGGAGGCAGAAAGAGGCAGGAGAAGTGTGAAGGGCTGGCAGAAACTCCTGGCTGACAGGCAGCAGGGGTGCCCACTGTCACCAATTAACTGTAGAATTAGACCCCGCTCCATCTGCCCACTCTGCACCCCTACAGGCTCATATCCTCAGTAAAGGTGACTCTGTTCACATCTGCCTCCAGTGAGTGGGGTTTTAGGTGGGAATGAAGGGTGAGAGCTTCTTTCACAGCTAGCTTTATGGGGCACCCAATAGCGTGAGCCCATTTGGAAGCCAAGCCTGCAGGCCGATGGGGCCAGAACAGGAGCCCCGGGGAATGCACGGGGCCCTCTGAAGCAGGCCCTGGTCTTGGGGAGCTGGGTGATCTTGCTCTGTCTAAGCAGACACCAGGGATGGGAGCGCCCTGGAATCCCATGCCCACCCACGGCCCTCAGGCTGGGCCTCTGCCTGCAGCAGTTAGGCTTGTCCAGATTGGAAAACTCCTGGAAGTTTCCAGCTCAATGCCCGGGGATGGCCCCCCTCCTCTGGCTGTCAGGTGAGCTTAGGGTGGAGCAGACATGTGAGCACCACCCCTCATGCCACCCCCTCACCTCCCACACACCCAGACACACAAAACCCTGTCAGCCCAGTTCCTGCCAGTCTGACCAGCACAGACAGCCCTTGTGGTGGCAGCCTGGTGGAGGAGCTGCTGGCCGGGGCCAGAGCAGCCCAGAGACAAGAGACCAGAGGACACAGAGGGTATCAGAGGCAAGAGAGAAAGAGGCCCCAGGAGCAAAGGAGGCAACAGCCAGCCAGGACCTGGACGCAATGGAGTCAGGCAGGTGCAGCCTGGCCAGGATGCTGGTGTGCCGGCTCTGGACCACCGTCAGCAAGGCCTTGTTTGCTGAGTTCCTGGCCACAGGGCTGTATGTGTTCTTTGGTGTGGGCTCAGCTCTGAGGTGGCCCTTGGGGCTTCCCTCTGTGCTACAGATTGCCATCACCTTCAACCTGGCCACGGCCATGGTCGTGCAGGTCACCTGGAAGGCCAGCGGGGCCCATGTCAACCCCGCCGTGACGCTGGCCTTCCTCGTGGGCTCCCAGATCTCCCTGCCCCGTGCTGTGGCCTATGTGGCTGCTCAGCTGGCGGGGGCCACAGTGGGGGCTGCTCTGCTTTACGGAGTCACGCCTGGGGAAGCCCGAGAGACCCTTGGGGTCAACGTGGTAGGTGCAGGGAGGGGCGCTGGGCAGGGCCAGGATTGGGGGGTACAGGGAGGTAACAGAGCATGCGACCCACACCTGCTTTGGGTTGGGCCCTGGGCCCTGGGGAATGACTGTGGCCTTAGTGTAGGCAGAGCAGAAATGGGATTATGTTGCAAGGAACAGTGGGAGCAAGAAGAAGCCACACTAAGGTGCAGGAGTCAGAGAGGACCAGGCATTTAAGTGTCGGGATAGCACGGAGAGGTGGGGCTGTGTGTAGCAGCAGGGGACCCTGCAAGCACTGTACCTCCCGAGGTCCACCTAGTGTCCCTCGCTCCTCTGTTTTCTCACGGTCCTCCCTCTCTAGCACCCTGAGGCCTGCCTCACTCCCCTAGATTCCTCTAATCATCTGTGTTCTACCTACTTCCCCAAGTCCCCACCTTCCACTCCTACCCACAGTGCCTCCCAGTCAGCCTGTTAATGTGCATCACAGCTTCACCAGCCTTCTCTTTCCCACCAGTCCTGAGCACCCCCTACCCCCTAAACTACTGGCCCCAACCACCCCATGTAGCTGGAAGAGTGACACTCACTTCTGCAGGGACCAAGTGTTCGGGGCTGACCTGAACCCTACCACACAGCTCTCCCCAAACCATTAGCTCCCTAAGTCCTGGGACTGATGGTGGTGAAGTGTCACACTCCTTAATAGTGAAGAAATGAGGCCCAGGGGGTCCCCATCCCTAGGCAGAGCCCACTGGCTGGAGCATAACCCCCTCACACAGGTCCGGAACAGCGTCTCAACTAGCCAGGCGGTGGCAGTGGAGCTGGTTCTGACCCTGCAGCTTGTGCTCTGTGTCTTCGCTTCCACCGACAGCCGTCAGACCTCAGCATCCCCGGCCGCCATAATTGGGGCCTCTGTGGCGGTGGGCCACCTCATTGGGGTAAGGGGCAAAGGGGACACTGTGTACATGCATCCACTTGTCCCTCCCTGGGGAGGCTGCAGGGGCCCTAAAGGTCAGAAAGTGTCCCTCCCTGAGCCCTTCATGCCTTGGGGTCAAGGCTTGTGCCTCACACTCCAGGCCCAGGATAGGGTGCTTCAGGGACCGGGGCTCTGAGCCAGGGCAGAGGGGACTGTCCTCTCCCAGGCCTGACTTCAGCCTCCTCACACCCTGACATGCACTCACTCCCAGATCTACTTCACCGGCTGCTCCATGAACCCAGCCCGCTCCTTTGGCCCTGCCATCATCGTCGGGAAGTTCACAGTCCACTGGGTAAGACCCTCTGCCGGCAGCCAGGTGGGGGGAGAGGGCCCCGGTGGCAATAGGGACTTTCACCAGCAAGGAGGCCACAGACACTTGGGGTGACAAGTCTCCCTGCCACAGACCATCCTGACCCCCAGTGGAGGTTTCCCTAAGCTCAGAAGACCAGGGCCAGAATCCTGGCTTGTACTTCCTTCCTTTCCAGCTTCAGAAGTCCAGGGTATCCAGTGGACTGGCAAGAAATAGGCCAGGGCAAGAGCTGCAGCCTTGGCCCAGCCCTCAAGTCCTGGCTGTTTCCTTATTCACTTCCTCCAGCTGGACCCATTTCCAAACTTGGATAAAGAAAAAGACAAACAGAAATAGACACACACACACCAGCAGAGACAGGAACAGCACTAACCAGGCTCCAGGCCGGAACAGGGGAGGCCAGAGGAGGGAGGCAGAGGGTGGTGGGAAGCCTGGGCCGGCCCCGTGGGAAGCTAGATCCCTTCACAGGCGGGGACTCAGGGTGGAGGTGGGGGGGCAGGACTCGCGCTTCTCGAACTTGCTGCCTTGTAGACAGCTCGAGGGTTCCTGGGAGACCAAGTCAATACTGAGGAAGCAAGTGGGGTCCCAAAGTCGCCCTCTGGTCCTGATGGCTCACAAGCAGGATGCCCATTTCTGCCTCTTCAGATCTTCTGGGTGGGACCCCTGACGGGGGCTGTCCTGGCTTCGCTGATCTACAACTTTATCCTGTTCCCTGACACCAAGACCCTGGCCCAGCGACTGGCCATCCTCACAGGCACTGCAGAGGTGGAGAAGGTGGAAGGGGTGGAACCCCAAAAGAAAGAATCCCAGTCCAGCTCAGGGGACATGGAAATGGAGAGTGTATGTCAGGTGGCATAGAGCTTGGCCCCCGCCCTCAAGCTTCCGAAAAGAGCCCTGAAAGTGGGCAGCATGCTTTGTAGGACCAGACTTCAGGTTTTCCCGGGGGAAGGGGGCTTGCAAGGTTGGGTAGGGAAGTTTGGCCTCTTGTCTTAACAGGGTAGGTAGGGATCACTGACATTACAATTCTAGATGGAATTTGGGAAGCAAATCTGTTCAGTTTTCACCTCCTCCACCTCTTTTAATGGGACAGAGCAGAGGGAGGCCTGGGAATTCCTGGTTGCCCTCCCTTTCTCATCTGTCTGGACCCCAGTGGGGTTCCTGGGCCTCCAGATCCCCAAGTCTTGGGGAAAAGGCAATTTGAGCCCAGACAGCCAATCTGCTTAGAGACTGAGGGTTACAGGGGCCTCAGGGAACCCCAACTTCTCACCCCACCCTTGGGGAGGAGGACCCAGACTTCCCAGAAGAGTCGGGCCCTGGGACCACCTCTGAGCTCCCCAGAGGGATGTGGTTTGGGGGCTGCGGCTCCCTGCTCAGGCTGGGGCCTTTCTGAGGCCAGAGATTGCCCTCCCGGTAGATCTTCATTCCTTACTCCTCCAAATGCTCAGCAGAGAGCCCCTCCCTCTGAAAGGGCTGACAGGGAGAGGAAACTTCTCCAGGGCTGGTGGGGGGCCAGGGCTTAGGCAAGGGAGGTTGAGGCCAGATAGCCCCTTCCCAGGGCTTGCTCTTCCCAGGAGTTCGCCTGACTTCCACTCTACAGCCCTATTCACAGGAACAGTCCTAAGAGGGGGAAGGCCCCATCCCAGCCCTCATTCTCATCCGCAGCCTCATTTTCAGTTCTGCTGGCATCCCCTAAAAGCTGTTGAATAAGTCCCAAGGATGGGAGGAACTCGGGAATGACCCAGGAAACCAAGATTTGCAATTCAGGGCCTCTGAAAGACCACTGGAGTCTCATCTGGTTTGTTAATAGTTACAAGCTGCTGTAAACCTACTCTACCCATGACTTGGGGTCCTGTTTAGATCTCAGCTTCCCCAGCTATAAAATGGGCACAGCTTTCCCCTAGAGATGGATGTTAAAATGAACAAGAGATTGGAAAATGGTTTTGGAAGTTAAAATGCAGGAAAAACAAACCCAATAAATGATGATTATTGTTGCTGTTACTGTAATTATCAGGTCTGAACACAACTGTTGTTGGTAATGGGAGGGAGGAGGGAAGAAGGGAGAGGGAGATGATTGAGAGGGAGGGAAGAGAGAGTAGGTTTTTCTCATTTCATCTGCTCCACTTACCAGGGGCCCTGCCTCCCACCCTTCTGGGCATACTGACCTGGGAGCTTTGTGGGTGTGTGTAGTGGGGGTCGGCTTGAGGTTGGGGAAGGGCCCTGGAATGAAGAGATGAGCCAATAAGTCAGTTCTCATCTCTATGGTGCCCATCACTATGGTACCCTGAGATACAGCAATCAAATGCATAAAAAAGATAGATCCTTTTCCATGATGTCTCCAAAGGGGTGGGGTTAGGGGAGGGGCTGCCAGAGCCTCCCAAGGCAGAGCAATAGGGCCGAGCCTGTGACAGTGCAGTAGCTGAGTGCTCATGGCCACGGCAGCCGTGTTCTGTAATATCGTCAGTGCCGAGTACTACTCACATCTCTCCAAGCTGGGCCCCACTCATCCATCTCATCCATCTCCACAGTCTCTCAGAGCCCAAGGCTTCTTGTGCCCTTTTATGAGCAGGGACAGATGGGTGTGTGTGTGTGTGTGTGTGTGTGTGTGTGATGTGACTGACTTGCTAAAGGTCACCCAGCTCAGTACGACAGCCCCCCCCAAGGTCTCCCCAGCTCCCAGCTTAGAATTTTCCAAAATAGAGCTCCAGGGGGGCTTACACAAGCTGCACCCAGAGGAAGGAAGGAAGCAGGAACTAGAAGGTTGAAGAGGGCAGCGGGGTGGAGCTCCTGCAGTAGGCTCTTAAGCTCCTAGACAAATTATCTCCACATCCTCGGAGCCAAGCACGCAGTGGGTGCTCAATAAAAGTTTGATGAATGAATGACTGAGGCTGGGTGGCTGGGGAGGGAGGGGAGGTGGTAATTGATCAAGAGAACTCAGGAGTCACAGCTCCAAATGCGCCGAGATGACGGCAGCTGAGAAGCCTAAGCTTGCAGGGCGTAAGCTGGAAGAGGATGCACAGCCACACGTGAGCCCCCTCCCCTACTTCAGAGCAGACTGTGTAACCTCTGTCCCAGGAGGAACTTACGGGCCTAGAGGGTAAGGGTGACTGCCGGGAGAGAAAGCTGGGGGGCTATTTCCACAAATAGTTCTTTAAAGCTGTGCTCTGTCAGAATGGACTAGAGCAAGAGGAGACAAGCTTCATGAGAAGTGAGGAACTAGGTTAGAATCTGAAGAGCATCCAAAGTTAGACACAGAAATGAGTAACCAAAGGTTAGTTTCTCCTTCTCTAGAGCCCTTTAATAGGACAGCCGGCCATCTGTTTGGATGTGGGAAGGGCTGGTCTTGAGGGAGCCAAATCTCAGCGGTTCCAGCCAGGGGTTTGCTTCACAGGCACCACCTCTGAGCCTGGATGGGAGCCGGAGCACGGGGAGGACAAAGACCCCACCAGGCAGACCCTTGCTGTGCTCTCCCTTCCTCCCTTTTGTCAGGGGAAGTTTTTAATTAATGGTGTGTAATCTGATCTGGCCCTTCTCCCTGCTGAGTGCTGCCTTCAATCAGCAGAGCCATCTGCAATTGCAATTCATAATTCTCCAGAAAGGGAGGGGGGGCCTGGGACGGATGCCTTGGTGATTAATACAATTAGCCTTTTATGTTGATGATTGTCTTAGCAGGAGCAGATGATGTGCGGAGCCTAGGCTGTCACTTCCCCATTGGCTGGCAGCAAGCCCCTCTCCGCTCCCCACCCCCACTGCCACCACCGGGTGTAAAGAGGTCGGGTCTAATCTGGGAACACACTGTGCAGGGGGTACCCCACAAAGAGGTCAGGCTCTGGGACACATTTGGGCTCCTCGGACTGAGAGGAGAGAAGCAAAACCACCATCCAGAATCTTTCACTTTCCCAAGAAAATCACTGTGACCTAAAGGAGTCTGTGCACCAAAGTTTAAAAATAAAAAAGACCATGTGAAAATAGAATAGGAGTTCAAAGAGTTTAAGTACAGGCTCAGGCACTTAAAGCTGCATGAACTTGAGTAAGTTACTTCAGGATCCTGAGCCTCACTTTCTTCATCAGGAAAATGGGTTCTGCTCATAAAGGGCTGGAAGAGCCCATGGGGCATGTGTTCAGCATCACACCTGACACACAGATCTAATCGGTGGTGGTTTTCACCATCATCCTGGGAGAATGTCATGCTCTCTGCCAATGAGCTTGGCTATTGCCCCTGCAGTTTCTAACAGGGCCAGGCTATTTCTAAAGAATTTGGGTGCGATTCAATGAGGCTAAGGAGGCTGGGTGGGTGGGTATAAAGGGGTGAAATGAGCTGGGCTTTGAGCGTCTGGAATCTCATCTGAAAGTCAACAAAAGGGGAGCAGCCACCGGAGCTGAGGGCTTAAGAGGTGGCATAGATCAGAATCTGGGCCTCTGATCTATAATGAAGTCAAGTGATCTGGAACAAGCTGATTGAGATTTTGATGGGAGACTCCACTGGGTCAGGAGAGGGGCTCACCTCAGCCCCTCTGGGCCCACAGCGTTGTTCTCCATGACCTGGAACAGTGTGCAATGAGAGCCTATTGTGAGACATTAACCTACAGTCACCTACAGTCAAAGCCAGGCCCCTGTAATGTCGGGTGGGGGGTTGGGGGGAGACAGGGAGGGATGGAGGGAGGGAGGGACGGAGGGAAGAAGTTAGGGCTAATCAAGATGAAGCATCCGGCCAAGCAGCAGCCACTCGGGCAGTTGGGGCAGGGGGTCTGCACAGCCACGATCTGTAATCACTTCTCAGGGGGAAGCAGCTACACCGAGGTGCAGTCACGTATTTAGCAAAAGCTGCAGAAGGAGGGCATGTTTAGTGAAGGGGGTTTAGGGGAATGGGGAGCCCAATGGCACTAATTAATAGGCTGCAGTTAATGGACAGAAAAGGAGAGGATGAAAAATTTTCAGAGCTTCAATTAAGTCAGATAAAGGGGCAGTTTTTGCCAGAGGTGGGGGTGGAGAAGGCTAGAGACAGAGGCAGGGACCAACCACTCCCCTGCACCCCCATGGACAGACAGAACAAAGGCCCAGCCCTGGGTCAGAGGAGGGACCAGGACAGCAGACCAGGACAGTGTCTGGTTACGGAACACCAGCCTAGAGATGCTCCCTCAGCCCAGATTACACTTCAGGGCCTCTTTCGCTGCTGGGTTCACCCTGAGACCTAGCTTTTAAGTCATCACCCCTGAGGCTCTCTGAAGCCTCCAGCTCCCTCCCTCCTCTGAGCTCCCACAGCAGTCTGCACCCACCTCCACCCTGGCACTGAACACCTCTAAAGCAGGAAGACTTTCTTAAGATTATATTTTCAGTCTTGTCTTAGGGCAGCAGGTTCCTTAACTTGACCATCTGTCCCTTTTCTGATCCGTGCCTATACCATGGCCTTCCAGTTTCAGGGGAGGAAAGACCTCTGGTATTCTGGATTTGGTGAGCAAACTGGACAAAGGATTGCAATCAACACCCCAACTCCCTGCACGGATTATCTCTGTGTTAAAGCACCCCGAATGTTTCAGTACTGCACTGTGATCTCAGAGCTCTGCCAGGATGTACCATTATTTTGGTTATAGCCTCACTGATTCGCAGTGGCTTCATTCCCCCTTCCCTGACCCAGGGGTCACATGTAATGGCCCTGGGGGGTCATGACTGGGACACATTTCGATCCTCTCCTACATGTTGCTCATGTGCTTCTTCATGTCAGGTGTCCTGGGGCTGAGCCTCGCTCCTCCCATGCTGCGGCTTCCCTCAGACCTGGGGAAACTCCTTGTTTTAATCTCTGATCACAGCTAAGTAGCAGGTTCCCTGGCCTCCAGGTCTGGTCTAGCCAACAGCCTATCTTCCTCGTTAATGAACAGCTAACATTTCTAACCCAAATAATGTTGATAACAAGATGCACCACTATTTTACAAGCCACAGAGAAAGAAAAACACTGCATTATATGGCACTGATGATAAGATATCCCAATTCTCAGAGATATGAAATATTTTTAAGTACATCTTACACTCAAGAAAATAATCATTTCTCCTTTGAATCTTGGCTCTTTAAAGCAGATTTGAAAGAAAAGGGGAATGAAAGGCGAAAGTGGGGACCATGTGGGAAGGTCACAAGTCTGCTCCTTCCTCTAAAGGGGACGGATACCACTGCCCTCATATGCACTCAACTCCTCTGCATGTCTGCTGCTATTTCAGCTTTTAAATACCCAGGCTGCCCCTCACGGCGAACATCTCTCCTTCAGTGCCAGGGAGTCCAGGAGAATCCCACTTTTTCCACAGAGGCAAAACAAAACACAAACCCTGCCAAAGCCAGGGCCACCGTTTTTGAGGAGATACTCGTCTAGCACTCCAATGCCATTTATCCAACCACTTCCCACCCTACTGGGTTATCTTCCGCAGAGCCCCCAGGCCAATGCCATGAGGAGATGCTGAGATTAGCCATTTCCTCCTAATCGGGCTAAAACAGCGCTGCTGTTAAGCTGCTGACTGCAGGCAGTTCCCGTTAAAGCAAAGCAGCTGGAAAGGGCTTAGCCCTTTAATGCCAGCAGCTGTATCTCCACAGTGCGGCTGCTCGGCTGAGGGGCTGGACTCTGTCCAGCAGCATCAGGCTTTTGGCCCCAGTCAATGTATATTAACCTAGGAGGGGAGGGCAGCCCGCGCCCTGGGAGGAGGGAGGTGGTTCACGTAAGCACCTTCACCCCCGGGGTTTGCTTTCCAATAAGGAAGAAAATCCCAGCCCCTTCGTATTTCTCACTCGACTAAAATCTGGACAAACTGCTATCATCTCACAAGGCGGAAAGAGCTTTCTCTGTAGCAGGAATGACTCCATTTAAAAAACTCACCTAAGGACAGATCCACTTGTTGGTTCTGACAGCAAGACTTTAGGTCACTAACCACACAGACTCATTCCCCTTTGGACTGATTTTTTCTCTGAGGCCTAAAGTATTCTTCTGATCCCAGGTGTGCACACGTATGGACACAACAGACGGGCTA